CAATAACTGGTTATTTTCCAAATAGTTAGCTAGATGACTGCTTAGTGGGAATAAATGAGTTATCTTAAAACTGTAAGTTATGGCCCCCAGAATGTATAAGCAGATATAAAAGTCTAAGCAGGCTGAATTTCTTTTCTCCTAATGTTATAGCACATGTGCTAGAATGCATCAAATGGCCAATATGTGACAAGAATAAATGTACAAAAGTAGAAACTAATTAATCTTTAGTCAAGAAAAGTCATGGCTCTAAAGGAGAGAATGACCCCCCGCCCCCCCAAAAAAGGAGTATTAGTGAAAGGAGAAAGAGAGACAGAATAGGGCCATTAAGTTTGAAAAATAACAGAGAAATAGGAATAATGAAATATATGATTTAAATAAGGCTATAGAATTCAAAGATAGAAATGATTAAAAATAATATACTCTGTGAACTCAGTGAATTTAAGGTGAAAGAAAGCAGGTTTCTAGTTCAAGATGAAAGGATGAAAACCTACACATAGCTCATGTCCCTCATGAAATACACTGAGATTATGTATAAATGCGTAAGAAAAAAAAAACCTTATTAAGAGAATAGAAAGGGAAATCATTTTCAGACAAGAGATGTTAACACATTTCAGAAAATTATAAAATAGGTGAAACAGTGAAGCAGGGACCAGCCTGCAGCCCTTTTTCAACAAGGGTCAGACATTAAATATTTTAGGCCTGCAGACCACAAAACAGCCATCAACAATACCTAAAAGAATGGATGTGGTTGTGTTCCAACAAAACTTGACCAAAGTATGGTTATAGTCTGTTGATTCCGACCAACAGGAACAGTTCTGCACACAGTACTAGCGGCTCTGCTGATCAAACCCCCATAGCTTAAAGTGAATAGAAAAAAAAACTAAGTAAAAATTTGAAATAAAGATAGGAGAATTAAACACAGACCTCACTATGGAATAATAGTTCAGTTACCCCTTCTTTCATCTGCCATCCACATAAAAGCAGGCAACTCCACTCTAATCCCTGAGGAGAAAAATGCAAAGGTTCTTATCTAAGGAAACTGATTTCTAGAATTGTTGCTGACACCTTAAATAAAGCCTTCTAATTCTGTTTCTATTATTTTTATTCATAGTTCAAGTCTGATCTCTTAGGTGCCCTGTCCACCAATACAGTCAGAATCCCCACACATGGGAGAGGCCCATTGTGAAACGGATACAATTATTCAGTAATGAACACAACCACAACACCTACCCGGTCGTTCCTCCTTATTTTTGAAAAGGCAAGCAAGATCAACAACCATGTCAGAAAGTCTAAGAGAAAGAAGGGGAAAGATCAAATTGATCCCAAAGCAAACAAGTCATACAGGAAATTAGAGAACTAAAAAACAAACAAAAAAAAAACACAGGGAGGGAGGATTCAGCATACTTCTTGCAATTTACCATACACATCCAAGAAAACAAAAATAAAACAAAAAACAGGGAATATGTAAAAGTTCTCCAAAATTAAAAAGATAATTTTTAAAAATTCAGTGGAGTGGCAGGATGATGAAGTCAAATAGCTACATCAGAAAATAATTTTAAAAGGGAGAAATCATAAGATCTATCCTTGGTGAATGCCCCTCTGTGCGAAGTACTATTATAAACATGTTGTATGTATTCGCTCACTTAATCCTCTATACTTCTATAAGGTAGATTTTATTACTGATTCTAATTTACAGATAAGAAAACAATCACCTATTGGTTTAAATTGTAGGAAAAGGCACAACCCTGATTCAAATAAAGTGATCGTGGTTCCAAACCCTTGCTTTTAACTACAATACTCAAGAGGTGAAACATATGAAGGAAAATATATGAGACATAGAGAAGTAATCAGGAAACCTAATATTAAACTGCCAGGAGGAATTGATAGAATAAAAAAATATGAACAAGAGGAAATTATCACAGATAGATATATTTTGAAAGATAGAATGAGAAGTGTTTTTAGGTTTAAAGGGCATAAGAAGTGCTAAGAAAATAATTTTTTTAATGTGGTAGGTTTGGAAAAATTCCCATTAACTTGAAACTTCATGAATATCCATGGGAATAATTTGAGTCATGAGATGACGGCAAACTCATCCAGTTGGAATTTTTCTTGCTTCAGCAAGGCGGTAGATGTTTCACTAGTCTGGGTCCACTTTAATCAGTAGCGATTTCCTGGACCACCTAGATAATGTAGAGCCAGGCTGCAAGTCCACTCCTAGAGTTTACCTAGACCCTAAGTATATAGCCTTTGGGGTCCCTTTTTGAAGTGGCAGTGGCTTTCCTGGTGTCTCCATCCTTGATGAGTCAGAAGCACTGACTTTTGATTCCTCCCAGCTCCATGAGGTTGCCAAACACCATTTAGTTTGACAAGTCAATTTTGGGGGTTAAAACAAATACCCACAGGTCCAATACTGGACCAGTCCATATGGGTTCTTATCCTCTTAAAGATTTTGGTTCAGTATTTACTTACTTTAGTCGTAGTTTTTTTATGTTTTTAAGAATTTTATTATATATTTCATCTAACAATTTGGTTGTCCTCTGCCGTATGATTGGTTCAAATTACTGCAACCACCCTTCTTTAAAGGTCAAAGTACCAGTGTTTCATTGTTGGGTGGGCTATTTCCTATTAACCAATAACTTTCCCTCTGTTCAGTCCGTAGCTATAATGGTCTATGGCAATGTCTGAGAGAAAGAATGAGCAACATAATGCAAAGAATTAAAAAGTCAAATTGTTCACTTTTGCATTTCAATAGCCCTGATCAGGACACATATGCTCTTAACTACAATACTCAAGTCATACATTAGCTTTCTAGATTAACCATGTAAGACAAAAATTATTTACTCACAGTTGGGTCAAAGATTCCTCAAATGGAAGAAAGAAGTGAGTCAGTGTAAAAACTAAAAAGTGCGATACTGGTCAATGTACCATCAAAAAGAACTTGGCTTTGTCACATCCCCAAAAAAGAAGGTAGTTTAAAGAATCCAGAAGCCTCATACAGGTTCACAACCGAGTAGATATAGGAAAGCAGTATGGCTAAACGGTCCAAACCCTAAATACAAAAATAAAAAATGCAGTGATAAAGTGGTTGAGTAGACGTCCAGGTGGAGTCTAGGCAAAAGCCTGAAACAGTCTCCCAGAGCTCTCATGTGACCAAGCTTTGTGCCCCTGGAAGTTAAATGAGGTCCATACATTTTCATGTTTTAAAGAGTTACCCATAACCCCAAAGAGGACTGAAAAAATATAAATTATTCACAGCAGCCCAGATAGTAGGGAAAGTTGCTGGCAGAGATCTGGACTAGCGGAGAATAAGAAACACTATGGCAGAGGTCTGTAGGGATTAATAACCAAGGACAGGATGGGATAATGTTCATCTCAGCCAGGGCCAAAAGGGACCAATGTTCACCTGAAATGAAATTCACTCCTTCCTCCGTGTCTCCAATATATTAAATGATTCCTTAAAATGTGGAAACAAATTTGGTGGCCTTGTCAAAACGTGAAATCATGATCTTTTAATATGACAGAGAATTGTACCTATCAACATATACCCTTGGTGCATACATTAGTTTGACCTCTCTCTCATTCCACTTTCCTGTGCTCTATGTCTCCAGGAGCTGCTATAACAAAGTACCACGGCCTGAATGGTTTACACAAAAGAAATGCATTGTCTCCCAGGTCTGCAAGCTAGAAGTCTGAGATCACAGTGTTGCCAGGTGCTGGTGCTCCTTCTGGGGGTTGGGAGAGGACTATCTGGTCCATGCCTCTCACCTATCCTCTGGTGCAAGCATGTCAAACTTGTGGCCATTGGGCCGCATACCTCCAGCCGCGAATTGGACATGCGTGCTTGGTTTGCTGGCAGTGTTTGGCATTGGCTGGCTTGTACATTCTCAGCCCAATCTGAACTCTGTCTACATCTTTATGTGATGTTCACTCTCTGTCTCTTTATACAGGCTTTCCTCTGCCCATGTCTATTTCTGTGTCCATAAAGAACACCCATCATAGTAGCTTAGAGTCTACCCTGATTTCTTCATTTTAACTTGATTACCTCTGTAAAGACTGTTTCCAAATTGGGTCACATCCTGAGACACTGGGAAGGTTAGACTTCAACACATGTTTTTAGGGAGATGGGGGGCACAATTTCACCCATATCATATGCTATCCTTCAATGTATCCCAACCCTTACTGCCACCTCAGCTCTGGTCTCCACCTCAGAAGTGGGATGAGAACAACAATTTGACATGTTATTTGGGGAATAAAAACTAAATTTTATGTTTGAATTTTTTTAAGTCATGCACAATAGATAAAACAGAAAAAAAATATGAATTAACAAGACCCACTGTGTGGCCGAACAGTAGCAGAATGGCGTTGGGTAGTAAAGGCAGTGGGGCGAGGTTGGGGAGAGAGAGTTTGGGGGTCTTAGCAGGATAGTCACCAACTGGTTTCACTGGAATCAGTAAAGGCCTTCACCTCTCCACTACTTCCTAAAAAATGAAAATTGGTTAAATTATTTTAGGTTGAACTCCCCTAGGCCAAACGCTGAAGAGAAATTAGCTCTTGCAAATATCGCTTTACATCTATTCGTTTCACCTATCAGCAATGCAATTTTGTCAGGGGAGAGGTTCCCGACTCATTTTTATACTTTGGATGCCCTTTACAGTATGTATCACAAGACCCAGCACAGAGCAGGGTTGTCATAAATCATTTAAACAAGGTTATATGTGCATGAGTAAGTTTTTCATCATTTAAAATTCTGACCCTTAGACAGTTTCACACTCTAACTCTTCTGCATTAAATTTCTTAATTAGTTTTTCTTTTGAGATTATTTAATTTATGTCATTTCTTTCCCAATTCCATTTTCATTGTGTCTTTGAATGAATTTAAACGATTTTTTACAAAAAGGAAAAAATGAGTAAAACACATTTTAGAATCTGAGGGTAGAAAAAGATGAGAAATAAGGGAGGTGTTATTTTTAATGTGCAATTACTCAAAAGTCGATGCTCTGCACACAGTGAAAAAATTGCATCCCATGAAGTGCTTTAGTTTTTAAAAGCACAGGCTTGGATAAAGTATTTGCAGTCTTGAAGAACTGTATTTGTGTAGAGGCATGCTGGTAAACATGTTTTTATAAACGGCACTTCAACCAACAACTTACACTTCCCAAGCTTCTGAACCTATATCTTTTTCATAGCGTCCCTGGTACACAGTTTCTAGGACAGTAACAATAGGCCATATCACAGGCTCCAAGATAGTTTAGGCCAGATGTCAGAAAACTATGGTCCATGGGCCAAATGCTGCAGCTGCTCATTTCTGTCAATAAAGCTGGACTGGAAAGCAGCCACACCTATCCGCTTACAGACTGTCTATGGCTGCCTTTGTGCTACAGCAGCACAGTTAATAGTTATGACAGAGACCCTGTGGCCTGCAAAGCCTAAAACATATACTATCGGGACATCCACAGAAAAGATCACCAACCTCTGCTACAGATAATAGCAGATGCATTGAACTGATTTTTTTTTCTCTTTGTTGACAAGTCCAGTCACAAGATGATCTTGTTCAATGTTTGTTTTTGCTGGTCCATATGCAAAAATCAGTTATGATGAAGTTGTTTGGTTAGTGCCAAGTCACCCCTCCACTGAATACCCTTTCTCTTAGCTGCCTCCTGGGAAAAGGAGTAAGTGACTCCCAAGGCAAAAGTACACTTTAGTAGAAGTCTCCCATTCCATTGCAAAGAATTCTTCTTAGAAACATGCTTGCTTTTAATAGTCTGGCTGTGCTCTCATTGCAAAGAGAAGTATCGATATTCCAGAGAGTTTTATTATAATAGATTTACTTCGCCGCGCCTGAAGTTGGAAATTCGAGTTGCAATCTTATGCCTGCATTACAGATGCCTCTTCCATGTGTTTGGCCACAGATCACCTCAAAAAATAGTCTTCTTTGTAATAGAACTGTAACCAGTTGCACCATATTGTGGAGGACCTCAGATACCTTCCATATCCACTCCCCTAAACTTTGGTTTGGAAAATTACCTTTGTAATTATATTAAGAAAACAGGATCATGGATGGACCTAGAGGGTATTATGTTAAGTGAAAGAAGTTGGTCAGAGGAGGACAAGTCCCATATGATTTTACTTACATGTGAAATCTAAAGTACAACATAAATGAATAAACAAAACAGAGACAGACTCATAGATATAGACAATACACTGAACATTGCCAGAGGGTAGGGAAGTATGGTGCCAGGTGAAAAAGGTGAAGGGATTGAGAAGTACAGATCGGTGGTTACAAAATAGTCATGGGATGGAAAGTACAGCATAGGAAATATAGTCAATAATATTGCAATAACTATGTATGGTGCCAGATGGGTCCTGGAAATATCGAGGGCACACTCTCTAAAGTATATGATTATTTAACCACTCTGCTGTACACCTGAAAGTATTACAAAATACAGTGGGGCCTTGACTTATGAGTTTAATTCATTCTGAGACCGAGCTCATTAAGGAGCTTGTTAACTCAAATTACTCTGTCAACTCAATGCAAAAAATCGGCCGAAAGACAGCTGGTATCTCAAAAAACTCATTAGTTGGGACACTCGTAAGTCAAGGCCCCACTGTAATATGGAATGTGAACTATAATTGAAAAAAATAAAAAAATAAAGAAATGAAAATGTGCTGAAATTTTCTTTCTTCACTCTCACTCCAGAAAAAAATAGACTCACCAAGGCCCACTGTGTAAGGTTATGCTTGCAGAACAGGGGGACGTGGAGGGACACAGGGAAAGGTGGGGGAGAAACAGCTTTGCCTGAGGGCAGTTTGAACATGGGTATGGGAGGAAGTGAGACAAGTGGCCCCTCACATAGAGGACAGAGATGGAGGGAGTGGATGTGCCCCTCACATAGAGGACGGAGATGGAGGGAGTGGATGTGCCCCTCCCATAGAGGACGGAGATGGAGGGAGTGGATATGCCCCTCACATAGAGGACGGAGATGGAGGGAGTGGATGTGCCCCTGGCAGAGCGGACAGGGAGGGAGGGGAGTGAATGTGGACCCTGAGCTGCAGCATGTGGAGAAGACCTCGGTGAGAGAGAGTTCTGCAGCAAGACTCAGGAGACAGGTGACAGGAACTTTCAAGTTGCAAAGGACAAGACCTCTGGGATAAGTCTGCTGAATACCATCGACAAGACCGAGTCCCTTCCCTAGCTTCCTAGCACCCAAGAGGCCAGAAGACTTGGACAATCTTATATACCCTGGCAGGGAACCCCCCAAATGGCTGAGGCTGAATTTCCTACCTGATTGGCAAGGAGTCATTTGGAGCAAAGTAAGTAGGATTTAGGAGGAAGAATGGGAGAAAACAGGGGAGGATATTCTGGGCTAGAACTACTACTTCATATACTTTGAACCCCAAATGAGTTAAATTTCAAGGATAAATTGTATCAACAATACAGTAATCTAATCTAAGTTGGCAACAAATAACTAGAATCTAACAGATTTTTAGTTGAGCCATCTAGAGACTTAGAGCCAAATACAGTACTCAATAAAAGTAATTACTTTTTTCAGATTTGTGGTGCCTCTTGTACTTACACATTTGGTGTGGGTTTTTTTATCCTGAATTGTACTATTTTGTGGGTTGTTTTGTTCCATTATAATTTGCCTCAAATCCTGCTGCAAAGCTGACTGTGCACGCTAAATGAGGAATTGCTTCAAGTTCCTCAGTTCCACATTTCTTTAGAATGAATGTTCTCCTAACTAATTTAATCCCATTATAAAATACTAAACAAATGTTATACCCCAAGATGCTTCATGGAACCCGTGTTGAAATACTCTTTCATTGCACTTATGTAGCAGAAATGAATTAAAATATGTTTTTAACTAAAGTCACTTTAAAAAAACCAAAATGGTATAATTATGCGGCCTGTCTAACCAGGTTATAATAACAGAGAAAAAATATATAACATAGACCAAGTATGAGGATTAACAAATAATATTTTACTATTTTTTGTTTCAGTGTAGTATTTTTTTTGCAAAAAAAAAATTGCAATTATAACCAAGGCTTCATCATACCCAGGTTGCTATTCTCTCAGTCTTTCCTTCAAAGCAGGCATTATATCAAAACTGGTGTGTATCACAGTAATATGTACATTTCTGGACTTTCACTATTTATGTCTCTATCCACAATTCCTTTATTTAGACATAACATAAATGGCATCTTAATGTATAGAGTGCATTAAACTTGCTTTTTTCTAATAAGCAAAAAAACTTCTTGAAAACTGTCACTGCATTATTTTAAGAATTGAATTAGGTGCCAAACATTTTCTCAAGAGTTGGTTGCTTTTCACATTTTCTAAAAATTCAAACTTTTGATGTGGAGAAAATTATACATTCATTTACACTTGCAACAAGTAATACAGAGAGATCCCTGTTCTGTCACCATAAGGATCCCTCCTGTTGCTTTTGTAACCACACCTGTGTTTCTCTTTACTACTGATACTCTAGTCTCTAAACCCTGGAACTACTCATCTGTTCTCCATCTTTATAGTTTTTTTATTTCAAGACTGTTATACAGAATCATGCAGTATGTCACCTGTGGGGTTGTATTTTCTTTCACTCAGCGTGCCTTCATAGGAGTTTTTGAAACATTTTTTTCATTCCAGGCTCAGTGGGGAAAGGTAGGATTTCCCCATGGCTGCTCATTTTCAGTGGGATTTCTGATAGACCCTGGCCGTTCCTGGTGTTGTCACTAACTATCCCTGCAATCCAAGGAAGAAATAAGACAACTACAAGTATTACTAGGTTGGGGATGAGGAGACACAGAGCTCGGACTGTCTTCCGCTGTTGGGTAGATGGTGATAAGATGTTCTCTTGCTATCTTGTTCCTCCAACCCTAGGCTTCTTAAACAATTGGTCTTCTTTTCAATACCATAGACTTCTCTTGGTTGCCTCTTACATAATTTCCAGAACGTATAGTTATACTAAGCAAGAGGACCAGGAGCAATATTACCCAGAATGGAAGTCAGGTTTGCCTTTTTTTTGTACTCAAAAAAATATTTTTAATTGATTTAAGAGAGGAAGGGAGAGGAAGAGAGAGAGAGAGAGAAACATCAATGATGAGAGAGAATCATTGATAAGTTGCCTCCTGCATGCTCCCTTCTGGGGATCGAGCCTGCAACCCAGGCATGCGCCCTGACTGGAATGTAACCATGACCTCCAGGTTCATAGGTTGACGCTCAATCACTGAGCCACAACTGGCTGGGTAGGTTTGCTTTTTATACTACAAAAGTTATTCCATAAATCATATCAACCATAAATCATCAAGGGATCTGTCTTAAAATTTTTATTTTTAAAATAAAAACTATTTCATAAGGGTATGATAAGACTGAAATTTATAAATATTTCTTACTACTGAAACACTATTTCAAAATAAGCTTTCTCTAAATTGTCTAGATAAAATCTATAAAAAAAACTTTTCAATATCCAAAGGTTAGAATCACTGCTGACATATTCCTAAAAATGCCACCTTTATGCTGATGGATCTATAACATTTGTTACATTAACATGGTTTTATACGACAAATCTTGGCTCATAACTGCCAGATGCACTAGTGTTTTCCACTATGCGTACAATTATTTATCATAACAAATCATTAAAAGGCAATCCTCTGCTAACCTCATATAACATATTGCCAATATGATGTCTACTTCATATGCGATTGGACATCAATCTCAGGACTATAGAAAAGCTTTAAAACTTTTCTGTAAATCCAAAAACTACTCTAAAAGTAACTTTATTTTTAAAGTGCCTTTGGCTACAATGATAGGCCTGAATGATTTGGGGAACTAGCAGAGGTGCCTGTGCCTTTGGCCAGAGCCAACGGAAGGACTCAAGCTAACGTAGAACTCTTTTGTTAAGGAAACAGAGGCTACTCACCCTAGTTTGTGTTATTTTGAAGAAGTGAGTAATGACATATA